CAGCCTCCGTGTTGAGGTAGACACTATCAATAAAGTTTCACCTGTCCTTTTTTCCAGCACCGCGAGAAAATATTTGTCTGGTGTGCAGCATTTAACTCATACTGAGCAGAGGCAAGGGCAGAGACCTGCTGTAGCTCTGGGCCTCCTGACAATAATATGACAAGTTTGCTGGCACTTGGGATGCTAAAAATTCCAGTAAGAACAGTTTCAGGTTGAAACAAGCACATCTGCCTTGCCAAAAAATGCCTGAGAAACTAACTGTCCTCTTAAGGCTGCTCCCAACTTCTCATTGGGAAGTTCTCAGTCACAGAATGGTCTCATTTCATTTTCTTTCTTGGTTTACAAAAGAAAGGAAGCGTGCGAAACAGATCACCAGTCCACCAGTTAACTAAATTTATCTAATTCTGACACAGGAGTCCATGGTGAATGCACTTATGTACCACGCTGCTGCTGGGCTCGTCTGCTCTCCTTCTCTGGTTTTTGTTTGTATGTTTCAGGTTGCACATTAATTCTGCATTGTATCTGCAAATATCATATCTTTATGCATAAAGGATTTCTTCCTTTGAGGTTAACTTTGTTTATACTGAAATATTTAATGCTTTTTTTTCTACTACAGAATCCGAAATATTTAATCCAAATTCAGTGACATCTAAAATAAATATATTCTAATTTTAATTTTTTTTTTTTTTTTTTTTTATTAATAGAGTTTAGGAAATGCTGGCAAATGTGAAATAATAACTAACAGACTTAGAAGGCACACTGTGAAACCTGCTGTAAACTCAAGAACTGAACCCTCAACCCTTTCTCTGGAAAGCGAGGATTGCAGAACTTGCCTTATGACCTTTTCCAGATGGAGACTCTATCCTGCACTCAGTATAGCAGCGAATAAGGGCTGGGATACAACCAACCATTAAAACTACATTTCTCTATTAAATCCAAATGTAATATATACTGCAAAGCATATCCTGCATTTATCCTTACATATGGGTAGAAGTTGCGTTTTCCAATGAATTTGAGTATTTCTATCCATTTACCTTTTATATGAATATCACATTAATCTATCAAATGGAAGCTGGGGCCAAGAATATTTCCATTATCAGCTATCCTAGCAGCCAAATTTTAATGTGCATATTAGAAAAATGTACAGCTTCTGCATCATTATCTCTTGCATATCA